CTGTGCATCTCTAGACATAGATCAGTAGCTTTCTTCCTAGGGAGGTGACTGGTAGATTTTATGTAAGAGATCAGCCTATAACCAAACACTTCACTCAGAGGTTATATTTACACAGCCCATTAGTAATTTTTTAAATACTTTTGACACTCATTAGACTCATAATCGTCCACTGGAGCTACTCTATAACAAGAGATAAACACTCCATTCTAAAGGATGAATAATAATTAGGTACTGCTTGGCACTGTGCTCTTTACAGGTCTAATTTTAGAGCATAATTAATCCTGCTGAAACTGCATAAGATAAGTGAAATATTTATGCAGCTGTGTTAATTCATGTATTTACTCCTAGAGAGACATTCAGAATTGGACATGGCTTTCCGGGAAGATTATCTTAAGATGCCCCCTGGAGCAACATCATTTTCTCTCCCATGTCTTTGCTTCCAGATGGCCTCTGAAGATGAAACTGAAAAGACACATTTCCCAACCCGAGCAGTGTGACTGGGAAAGCAATGATCCAGGACACAAACTATCTATAAGAACCCAATGTTCTATATGTGAGTATCTCCAGCCAGGACGTAAACTATCTATAAAAACACAATGCTCTTCAGGTGGTGTTGGCATTGCACGCCTTTAATCCCAGTACTCAGGAGGCAGAGGCAGGCGGATCTTTGTGAGTTCAAGGCCAGCCTGGTCTACAAGAGCTAGTTACAGGTCATCTAGGACTGTTACACAGAGAACCACTGTCTCAGAAAAACAATGAATAAAATAACAAAAACCCCACAATGCTCTATATATGAGCATCTTGAGCAAAGACATAAGCTATAAAAACCTAATGCTCTATATGTAAGCATCTAGAGCCAGGAAATAAACTGTCTGTAAGAACTCAATGCTTGCAAGCATCCCAAGCCAGGACAAAAACTAACTATAAGAACCCAGTGCTCTGTATGTAAGCATCTAGAGCCAGGACATAAATTTTAAGAACTCATTGCTCTATATTTAAGCATCTCAAAATGCTGCAAGGAAGATGATTCCTTGTTTAGTACCACCAGATTGTTTCTGGGATGTAACCTAACTGTATTATTGCAAATATATCACTGACTGAGTTGCACTGAACATAAACATCATACACGGATGGATGGTGATGGTAGATAAGGAAAAAATGCTGAGGAGAAAGATGGTGATGATTGTGGTGATAGAAATGAAGGTGATGAACATGGTGATGTCAATGGTGATGGTGATTATGGGAACCAACGGTCCCATGGTGCTTGTGTTTCTGATCCTAATTCTGGGGGTAGATGATGGTGGCAATGCAAATGGTGATGGAGGTCTGGTGATCATAATTATTTGGAGGCTGATGGTGTTGATGGTAGCAATGTGGTAATAATAATGAAGATGAAAGTGGTGGTGATTTTGCTGCTGGTGCTGATGCAATTAGAATTATGACAGTGATGATGGTGATGATGATGATGATGATAGTGTTGATACTCGTGCTATTGGTAGTGAAGATGGTGGAGGGTAATGGTGGTGATGTTGATAGTGATAATGATGTGGACATTGGTGGTTGATGATGCCAGTGGTGGTAGTGATGATGGCAATGCTAAAGAAGAATATTTTGGCTATACTGACTGTGATGATTATATTATGAAAACAATGATGCTGATTATAATAACAATAGAGAGGATGGAAATGACAGCTTTTGTTTTTAAAGCACATTATGTTGCAAGTTGTGTGCTAAGCTAAGATCTTTACTGTATCCCCTCATTCCATTTTCCCATCTTATCATGTAAATATATCTGTACCTAGACACAAATGAGTAACTGAGGATAAGAGGTAATTTTATAGAAGCATTTGTAAGAAGAGCAAACGCAGATTTAGTTAGGATATGCACTGAGTCACTTCTTCCTGGAGTGCCTATTAATCAATCAACTTTGTCAGACATCTTAGAAAAATAAAAAGGATGGGATTTTTGCTTAACTGGGGGCTTTCTAGATTAAATTCCATGAAGTAGAGCTATCACCACTTACAGACAAAGGAAGTCACAAGCCCCATGAACTTCAGTTTCTGCCTTTGTGAAGTAGGAATGAAGCGGTTGTTCTGAGATAAACTAAAAAAATATCTACATGACCAAGCTTGCTGGCTGGCAAACCCTGTTCTCTACAGATGTCAGCAGTTTCACAACAGATGCTACAGAGAGACAATGGCGAACAGGGACAGGTTAAAGCTCCATCATTTGACAGACACCCATCACATTCAAGCATCTCCTGTCAAATGAAATATACTCTGACACCAAGCACTCATCCATACATGTCCTTATACACTCAACCCTTCATTGATCAATTGCCTGTTACATTCAGGATTCTGTGGGGATGAGGTCAGCCTGTGAAGAGGAATGGAAAAATTGTCACCAAAGCTCCACGGCCATCACAGTGTCATTCCCCTTGTCCTTTCTCTTCCCATAAAGAAACATGTCCAATAAGTTGGGTTTGGGGTTTGTCATCTTCCTTGTTTTGGATAGGAGACTATTAGAATACAATCACAGAACCAAGCAGAACCATCACATGTCCATTCACATCAAAAAAAAAATTCACATCATTTGGGAAGAAAATACCTTCTTCAAGGTGACTAGTAACAGCCTGCTTGAAGCCCATAACCAACATGAATGTGGCAGAGGTCACACACTTGACTCATTGACCTGATCTCCATCAAACTCATCCAACCCTGAATCTGGGTTTGTCTACTCCATTTGCACCCTTATCAGCAGAGTAAAGGCATCTTGCTGTGTGCCTCTGGGATTTCACAGCAACAGCAGAACAACATAGCCACAAATCACAGTTACACAACACAGAACATGACCAGTGATCCGAGGAAGAAACAAATGCCCTATAGGGAATCCTGAGAACCAGATGGCCTTATTTGAGAGGTAAATACAAAACACAGTTAGAATGTTTGATGACACTGTAAAAATTAAGGATTTAATTCTGTGAACTGAGAAAGAAGGAAAGCTACAAAGAGTTATAAACTTCATTTGAACCCACACCAACATGTACATAAACCTTTGCTCATTTCAATATCATGTTTGACTACTGTGGTTGCTGTATTTTATCCTCTCGGCTATACAGAGAATGGCACAGTCTGTAATGTATCTGACTATAGCCTCCTTCCATTTTTGAGTGGGGCTCCTAACCCACACCCTGAGCTTTTGTGTCTCGCACTGAGGGAGAAGCAGCCTGTGCTCTAAGTCTGCATTCTACTTCCTGTCTTTGCATCAGCCACTCAGACAAAAACTATGGCTCAGAGGGCAGGCCATTCAAAGCCATCTCATCATGCTAAGAGACGTGGTGAGATCACCAGCTGCTGTGGTAGATGTGAAATGTACATGCCATGTTCATGTCTATCAACCCTGGGGCCCCATCTGGTACCACTGTTACCAGGGGAGGTTGTGGATCTTCTAGACGGTGGAACTTTGCTGCAGGAAATGAGTCACGGAGCACTCCACTTCCTGGTCCCTCTCTGCTTCCTGTGTGTAGATGCAATGTGCCAAGTCTCCGAATTCTGCTGCCACAATGGGCCCTAAGCTGCTTATTGTCTGATGTCTGAACACAACAGTGAGAAAAGTGATTAAGACAGCAGACACAGCAGAGAAGGGCAGGCTGGAGAAAATACAGTGTAGGCCCAGGTAGCCCACTGGGCAGTGTGGATGAAAACTGCCCCCATGGCATCAGGCTGTAAACCTGTGAGAGGAGGGACTGTAGTGAGTTTGCATGTTAAGCAACAGAAAAGTGGAATGCTTTTAGAAACCATGGGGTCTTCCTTTTCTAGAGATATTCTTTTTTTTTTTTATTCCTCCAAAAGAGATTGAGAACCACCACGTTAGTCGAACCTGACTAACTCGGCAGTCATTGTTCTTTGGTCCAGAGAAGTCTTCCTTTAATCCAAAACCTATGAAGAATGCTTCCCGACTTTGACATGTAGGGAACAGACATCAGGCCTTAGAGAGGGTGCTGGTTAATTCTGCTAACTAGACTCTGCCTAGAATCACCTGAGAAGAGGGTTTCAGCTGAAGAATCGTCTTGATCAGTTGTCCTGTAGGCATGCCTGTGCGGGGTTGTCCTGAGGTTAATTAAGGTCGGAAGACTCACCCAAGAATGTGAGTAGTACTATTTCATGAATACAGTCCTGAGCTCTGAGTGGAGAAAACTGGCTTAGCATAAGCAACCAGCAAGCCAGGATGGAATATCCTCTCTCTGCTCTTTGATGTAACTGGTTCCTCGAGCTCCTGCTTGGTCCCCCCAGTGATGAACTGCAATGTGGAATAGTGAGTCAAATAAGCCTTATCCTTCTTTATATTGCTTTTGGTCATGGTGTTTCGTCCCAGCAACAGAAATGGAGCTGGAATGTTATGGTTTGGATCTTAAATGCCCCAGCCCCCAAAGTCTTCCCTTGAATGCTTGGATCCTTATGCAACTGTTTTTTGAGACAGGCATTCTGGGAAGTGTTTGATCCTAACAATAGCTCATCAACCCATTTACGGATGCATACGTTAATGGAGTCCTGGGAGATGATGGAAAACTTGAGACATGATGCCTGCTGGAAGAACTGGGTCACCGGAGACGTGCCCTTGAGGGCTGCACACTGTCCTACCCCCATTGCTACAGCTCGATCATCAGAGGCTCAGCAGTTCTCCTCACATTCCACCATTCCACCACAGGCCTACAAGCGTCTGGACCGTAGAGGGAAGCTTCAGAAATCACAAGACAAAATAATCTTTTTCTCCTTTATGTTGCTTATTCTGGGTAGGTATTTTGTCATAGCAATGAAAAACTGACTCACGCCGCAATTGGGTTCTGTAATGCTGTGCAGCAGTGGTCCCAAACCTAGCCTAAGTTTGGGATCACAAAAATCTGCATTCTATAGCACAAGGAGACTGGCCTGGGTATTTGAATGGATTTTCTGACATTCTTCATTCTGAGCAAGTACAAGGTTCTGCAGGGTCTTACTTACCGTCACCAACAAACTGCAGCAGAGCCAGGTCAATCTGCCTCTTCCAGGGTGAGCCCTTCTGGAGGGCAATTCCGTAGCCCGTGGTGGCAAAGATGTACCCACTCCCAATAGTCACCAGCTTACAGCCTTCATCCCTCCCAGCCTTGTAGTTCAAGACGGCTGCGTCATAGATGAAAGCGTCCAACTTCCTGAAATGACAAGACACCAGGGAGTCATAGGGTGGCTAGGTGCTATCTCAGGGCCCTGTTCTCCCAGCCAACGCCAGCACCTCACACAGTGGAGGGGGTGACTCATGGTTGCTCCAGTCCCTTGTCATAAAAGGATCTATTTTTAATGAGGATATAAAAGCAAGAACCTTTCCTTTTCAACTTTCAAGAGGCAGCTAAATTAAGACACGAAGAATCCATATACCCAAGTGAGTAAACAGGCAGGTTTTTTGTTTGCTAAGTGTTTGTCCTTAGCACCTCCCAGCAGTGGGGAAATGGTGGCCTGTTTAAAAGGTTTGCCTCAGAACACCAGAAACCTCCAAGGGGCAGTAGAACTAGGTGGTGGCATGCAAGCAGTGAGGAGGAATTAATCAGGAATGCAGCCTTGGGTTTAAAGATGAGCACGAAAACATTTGCTGTTTATGTTACAAAGTCATTACATGGTAACATTTAAACACTCAAATCATATAGAAATTTATTTAAATGATTAAAATTATATAAGCAATTAAATAAGTAAGTTATAAAACCCTATAACCCATAATCTGTAACTATGAGGTGGCCTCTATCAGTATATTGATTGGTAGTCTTCTGAAGTTTGTACATGTGCATGGAATAGGAAACCTTTTTATGTAAAGACAAGATGAATAGTTGAGGTTTTGTGAACCATATAATCTTGGGTGAAACTGTAATTTTGCTGTGGTGGGGTGTTATGGATTAATTATCCCTCTTTCCATGAAAAAAAATAGTTGAAGTCCCAACTCTATGTATGCAATCTGTTTCGAAATATAGTCATTGTGGCTGTAACCAGTTAAAGATAAGGTCATACTGAGTGGGTCCCTAATCTCTCTCTCTCTCTCTCTCTCTCTCTCTCTCTCTCTCTCTCTCTCTCTCTCTCACACACACACACACACACACACACACACACACACACACACACACAGAGAGAGAGAGAGAGAGAGAGAGAGAGAGAGAACGAGCTAGGAGCCGGTGACCAATGAGACCCTTAAAACAGCAATTTCCACCTCACTAGCAGAGGTAGCACAGACCTGCCAACACCCCACTACCAAACTCTGAACCTTTATAACTTTAGGGCAACAAATTTCTGTTGTTTAAGTCTGTAGTTCAGGCTACTTCCTTGGTGTAACCCAGGAAACCACAGAGTTCCCAAACAATCAGGTAACACAGAATGAATGAGCTCAGTTCTGTTCCACTGGAAATTCTTTCCAGGGCTGGCTGTTCATCCACTGTAGTTTACCCCCCTTATCTCATCCCCCCTCCATGGATTGTGCCAAGCTACATCACAGAGTGCTTTCTTTTCTCATTTCACACCTGCAAGCATATCTCCACATCAATAAAAGCAGTGTTTTCTTCTGATAAGTTCACTTTTATTGCAATATTGCATCAAATCACCATGCAGTTCAAAACTGGAGCCACAATCATCACTTCATATGTCCTATGTGACACCCCCACACTCACCATTTCCCAATGACAAGTATCATTGCATCTTATGAATGATGTGGCTGAACCCAATAATTACCTAGAACCGTATTAGTGAGCATACTCTTAATTTCAAAAATTTGATGTTATCTGAAAGGGCCAAAACTGCTACCCTGGAGTGCAGGAATGGACATTTCCATTCTAAAACAAGTAAGAAAGCAACATCAGAGATTTTTCAGCTTCTGCCACAGTCTCCACCTCATTGTCTTTCTCTCTCTAACGAGGGACCATAAAACATTCAAGCCGAGAAAAATAAAAGTGGCAGCAGAAGATGTAGTGGTCTGCACTCTGTCAGAGGCAGCTGCCGGAGGACTCCCTCTGGGAACACAACTCTTCGCCAGCTTTAGAGGTGTCTTCATCATTTCTGTGTTCCCTGCTTCCATTATGGTGCTTGTAATGATTACAGGTGAGGCAATGCTAAGGGGCTTATCTAACTTATAGAAAGACTCCAAAACTTCTATCCCAAACACTAGGCATTAATCTTTGGCCATTCTCAAAAGAGATCAGAGCATCCAGTCATCAGCAGCAGCAGCAGCAGCAGCAGCAACAGCAGCAAGAAGCTGGGTATGGCCAGTGGTACAGGCAAACCAGAGATGCCTTTCTAAAATGCAGCCTTGCTGGTGCAGCCTTTCTAAAATGCCAGCTACATGGGAATGGTAGGGACAATGGGTGGAGAGTTAGAGAAGACATGAGGTCGCAGCAACTCCCTACATTGGTGGCTGCTTGCACACCACTTGCAGAAGACTGGCCTATCCACATTCCATCACAAGGGGATGGGGACTTAGATTCCTCAGTAATGTAGTCACTGGTCAAGTAAATATTCATTTACCCAACCCACGTTCATGCAAGCAACCCTTAATCAAACGCAGTGGGTCACAGGAAAAGGCATGGAAACAGGAGGAGCTTGCTGGAAGGAAGAATAGAGTTCAGGAGAGGATAGGGACTAAGGAAGGATAATGAGGGATATAATTAATTAAAGACTATATATATTTATATACACATATATGATTTTTAATATACATATATGTATACAAAAAAGGAAAGGTTCAATGCCATTCATAGTGTAGTACCAGAGCACTGGATAGATAGATAAAACATATGTGAGTTCTAGGTTGGGCTTGGATGAAGGCATGGCCTCAGGGTGAACAGACATATCTGAGTCCTAGGCTGGAACTCGATGAAGGCACGGCCCTGGGAAAGCCACTTCTTCCTTTTGGATACTGGGCATCTCAGCTGTGAGGTGAGGGGTCATGGTGTTCTGCTGAGACTCTGGGACATCCTAGGATTCTGTAAGCTGAGGGTCACCTCCCGGGACTCTCAAAAAGGAAGTCTGATATGGGATACTGTGTCTGTGGTGTTTCTCCTCTCTATGCAGCTGAGGTACTTGCAATGTCAACACTTCACGTCCCACAGTTGCCATGGAGATACTGAGAACCTTGGTTTTATAAAGACTTTCTAAGACTCAGAGAACTCCCTCAATTCCTCAAGAAATAACCATAAACACACATCTTCAGACTTACATACATACAGAAGAGTCCAGCCGTCAGGCAATCTATTGCTACCCCTGGCATCTGGCATCTCCTCCTACTCTCATTCCCCTTTAATACACTATTGGGATGGAAATCCAGAGACAAGCCTGGCAATCATGCAAGAGTTGTTCAACAGCCACTTCAGTTGGTATTGTCAGGACCGGGCACAGAAATGTACAAATTGGTTCCATATTTTATGACACATGTTCTGCTGAGCAACAGTCAGATGAAGAGAGAGGAAAATAGTAGGAAGATTCATGGCAGGAATATGTTTGGTCCTGACAGAAGCAGGTACGCACTGGATGGCTGGAGGGGCCAAAGGAACATACCTCAGGGCTGCAGCCACAGGGAGCCACAGATGGAGCCTGTCCTTCCTGGTCCACTCTGATCCTGGGGCCACAACCCAGCAGTGCTAACACAAGCAGGGCTCACATTAGAAACTAGGGCTGCAGGAAGTATATCTGTGTGTGTGTGTCCCTCTGTCTCTGTCTCTGTCACACACACACACACACACACACACACACACACACACACACACACCGGTGCTCCCAGACCACTGGGATCTAGACACAAATGGACACAGACACCTGCATGTTCAAAACAATATTCTTGGTACCAGAGAGATGGCTCAATGGGCAATAACACTTTCTGTACTAACATAAAGACCCAAGTTTAAATCCTCAGTATAACATAAAAAGCCAGGTATGTCTACACATGTACCTATAACCCCAGCACTGCGGAAGAAAGGGACAAGAGGGTCACTGAGGACTGTTGGCTGCCAACTTAGCTCCAGGCTCAGAGGAGACCTTGTCTCAATGAAATAAGATGGAGAGTAATAAAGCAGGACACACAAATGTCCTTCTCTGATTACTGCACATGCATGTACACACACAGCACACACACGCACATGCAAACACCACACACATACACCATACACAGACACCACACACACTCTTTCTTGTACACAGCAAATAAAAGCAAACCACTGTTTACACACAGCACTTGGAATGTGTCAGTCCCCTTGAGACATCACAATTGCCCAGGAGACAGATGACATCATTCTCTTCTTTTCTATTTTGTCTACAAGCATAGAAGCTTCTAGAAAGCTAAGACAGTCTTGGATGCAACCGTGGTAATCCAGATTCTGCACTACAGCACTCCCCGGAAGAGCACTGTTTGTGGGAGCTATGTGCAGCCATGCAAATGTCCTGCTCTGTGGTCTCCTGTGTGTGTGTGTGGCGGGGTTGGAGGTGGCCTTCGAACTGCACTTAATGCAGCCAGCTAGGGAACTGAGTTTGCAATTTCACTGAACTGCACTGATTCAGATATTTATAAAATGGCTCAATATGGCTGAGGGCCGCAGACATCCTGTATGGGCAAGGAGAAGGCTGGGTAGCCAGACTCTGGGTTCTCCTCTTTGCTCATACTCCAAAAGTTCTACTTGTTTTCTGTTTCCAATCAAAAACAGTACTGTTGTTAAATGGAAAAACCTTACATTTCCACCGTGAGAGAAAACGATCTTTGTAAGCTGGAGACTTTGGACGCTGCACCTGTATTTCGGAGACTAGGGTTTTGTTTTGTTGTGTGTTGGGTTGGTTTTTTTTTTCTCTCTGAAAAAAAGGAGCTGACAGTATCTGCCCTCAGAGGACTGTTGGGAACAAAGTGATGTTATGTAAGTAAAGCCCGTGCAATGGCCGGCTTATAGCAAATGCTTAAAATGCATAAATGCACTCAGCTAAATTCAGTTTATGGCGAAAGGCCCCACAAATTTTATGTACCCTCTGTAATAAGTCCATTTCCAAATACTTTGCCTGAGCTGTCTTCTTTTATCTTTTCCCATTATTATTTTTCTACTCATGTACAAACAGACACATTTTTTGAGAGGCTACAACAGCCAAGGCTCTCAATGCGGAAGGATGAGTGAATTCTCCTGTTGGGTGTGTTGCTAGTTGTCTG